AAAGTGGATAACTACCAGCCAATCGGCCTGACCGCTATTTTGGCAGACACTTGAGAAGAATTGGGGAATACTGCAGCTTCTCGAGTCGAAAAACCTCTTGACGCCCGCACAGCATAGTTTCGTGAAGGGTCATTTATGTATCACCAACCTGCTGTTAACGAGGCACGAATGGCTGTAAGCGCTGGACCAAGAGAAGTTGCTCGAAATCATCTACATTGACTTCAGTAAGACTTCCGACAAGGTGGAATAATGAGGTGCTCCTCCGCAGGCTGAAAGAAGGCAGTGTTGGCGGCTCGCTGCCCCGATGGATCAGGAATTTTTTTAGTCGAAAGTGGAGGGTCTAGGTCGACAACTATCTGACCGACTGGTATCCATCGAGCAGTGGCGTGCCCTAAGGCACTGCACTGGAGCCAATTTTGTTCCTGATCCATATAAACGAAGTACCTCATCTTCTCCGTCTTGTGCGTTGTTTGCAGATGACTTGAAGGTGTGGAGAGTAATGCACGCGCCCAATGACTGTGACCTTCTTCAGCGGGACCTCGACCGCCTCTCCATGTGGTCTGCAGAAGTCAACCTTCCGATAAGCCATGCCAAGCTGCAATTCATGTAGCTGGGTAAGTGAGCACAGCCGAGCATACACTGTGGCCAGTCAACCGTTGCATCTCGCGCTTTCGTGGGAGATCAAGGCGTATTCTCACGCTACGACCTAAAGTCCATGGACAACAGGAATTGGCTTTATCAAAATGGCCTTCGTACGCTTTGGGCGCACTTGGTCCGAAGAGATTTCCACTCCCCAGTTCGTTTTAATAATACGACCGATGCTAGAGTACGGTTCACCCACGAGGTAGAAACAACTGAGCGAGTACACCATGTGGCCACCAGGCTGATCTCCAATTTACAAGGTGTGTCGTAGAAAGACTGAGGTAAGAGACTAGGACTTTACACTCTATCGTATCGTCGATTGCGGGTTGACCTCATTATGACGCACCGAAAACTACATATAGGTGATTACCCATGTTGAGGCCTCTGCTATATTTGCGCACACCAAGCAGCAAACGAGAAGACCAGTACAAACCTATCGTACTGGATTTGAAGAGAGTTGATCACCAAATCTGTTTCAAAGGGAGAATGTATGGAGCGACCTGCCGCAGCACGTAGTTGAGGCAAAGTCGGTGTCGGAATTCAAGAAATCCATGGACAAACACTGCCGATATAAAATACATTGAGCGCACTCCAACATAACACGCCTTAGTACCTGAGTGATATTAGATGCAGATACACAGAGATATCCCCACTTGCTGCTTCCAACCAGTAATCATCATCATCATCAACTGCAGTATATCAGCCATTTGAACTAATGCTTCGCTGCCGTAAAAGTATAGGGACCTACGGAACGGAGAGTAATAGGAGAGAAGAGGGACTTGCCGGAAAATCCTAATGCTCTAAGCAAACACTCAGGATAAAGGAGACTACACCTTGTAAACAACATATCGTCACAAATAGATGGCTATCGTGCAAAGATAAGATGGCATCAATGAGACAACTTCCTTGGGGCATTCACTACGCCGCGTCACAAGCAGCCATTACCTCGGTAACTCAGCACCAAACACACGTTAAACATGCAGTCCGACCAGGAGACCACAGGAGACATGCTATTGGTGGCGTCTACGAGCCATGTCCTGTCACGTGTAGAGCCACGCACGAGACGGCTCACGTGGACTCCAGCCTGGAAGGCGAAACAAACCGACGGCACCCAGTTTGGTCGCCAGTGATTTTATTTCCCACTGCCAAGTTAACTTTTGCCCACCACGGGCCTTGGGCCAGCCTACACGTGGCAAACAAAACAAGGTCCTCTACGGTAAGCGGCGAACGGGCATACGTAGTACGTGCCCAAGCCAACGCAAGTTATTTAGCGCTATCTTGATTTAAGGAACTAGCAATTATCTACGCACATCATCGTTGCCGACACGCTGGTGCCGACCTGGTAGGAGTAGCTTTCAAGGGGACCGAAGGACCCACCCAGTATGGTTCAGTGAGTTGACGAGGTAGGCAAACTATCGCACCACGTTAAGATCCAGTCTCGTTGCTATACATTTTTGCTTCTGCCCTTCCTAACATCATGTTATCTCCCGTTCCACCAAGCTAACCCCCTTCACATTTGCTTCGGAGTGCTAAGCGCTGTCTCCTATTTCCGGGAGAAAACAACCCAACCACCACCCGTGGCAGTTCTTGATGCTCTGCCAAGTCGGATTTCCATTTCAATTACTCTGCAACTCGACTGCCTAGTCGTTGGGCCAATCTCACAATTGTTTAGAGAGTGGTTGTTCTATTTTTTAATTTTTCAATGTATGCGCTATATACAATCTGAAGTAGATTCTGTAGGATAAATACCACTCCTTTTTCAATATTTTTATTTCATCATATTCAATGCCTTTCTTTATTATTGTTGGCCACAAATGAGCCAATCTCCTGAGGTGACAGAATGAAGCTTCCGAATTAATCAATTCACCCACGTGTGGGGAACTGTCACAAACCTACTGCGGAGAAAAAATAGGCCCACTCAAGGTAAATGATTGCAGAGTCAGCGAGTAAAAAAATGCCAGATTCGAAACAGGCAGAAGTTGAAATGAGATGAATGGTTTAAAAGAAGATAAAAAGAAAATCGGAGAGCATATTTATCTCTGCGAGCTCATTCCTCACTATACATAAGCACGGCTGTGAAGAAAAGCTAATACGGTGATGGCTCACTTGCTATTATGTCACACAGGTACAAAGCCAAATGGGACGTGAAAGTGCGAAGGAAACCTTTCGAGGGAGAATACCCCGCATGTAAACAGGCTCCCGGGAGAACGGTTTCAAGGATAGTTGAACATTTTCAATAACTACCATCTAACATTTGTATCGATCGAACTCCCCGAAAACCCACCTTGGAACTGCTCCCGAAAAACATCTACCTTTTTAGATCCTACTGAACCAAATGATCAGACCACGTACTTGGAGTGCATTTCGCACAATCGAGAGATGTGTACACATATAGTGAAAAACCCTGGAAGTTAGTGAGTGGTCAGGAGATTTACCGTTATTAGATTTCTTGCAGCTAGACTCAACCAGACAGCCACCACGTACCCAGGAAAGCGTTAGACGATTGTTCCGTTCTATTGGGACCTGTGTCGGCCGGTAGCCGAGTGGTCTGCACACCTGGTTTGCAACCATAAGGTCCTCGATTTGAATCCGGGTAGGGGTGGGCGTCCTCGCGGTACACTCAGCCCGCTCGCGATTGGTGGTGGTCGCGCAGCAGCGAAGCGCCGTTACGGCGTGCAGTTGGCACATTATTTTATTATTATATTATTATTATTATTATATATCATTATTATTGGGATTGTCAGCAGGGCGCACTCATTTGATGCTATCGGAGTCGAACCTATGACCTTACAATGGCAGCGGATCGCCATGACTTATACCTGAGTGCGGCATAGCGCGACTTATCCTCTACTGTCATGAACGTGCAGAGGACGGCGTTGGCCTCTATCATGACTGATAAAATACCCATATGGGTGCATAAAGCTTATTCTCACTTGATTTGAGACAGTGCTCCTGAAGATGAGCACAATGGAATAGAGGTTTCGGAGTCAAGAGTAAGACGTAAGAAAATGGGCCTTTAAGCAACGGAGAATTTGGCAAACTTTGCTGTTCAAAAGCGAAACACAATTAAACATGTTCCAAGAAAGAGCCACGGAGCTGAGCCAGTTTGTATGACGCGCGCGAAGCTGTTACAATGTGATAAGGATACAAGAAAACGGAACGTGGCTCTGATTATAGCAAATCCGAGTGTTTCATCCAGTAGGAAGCAAGGGGCTGGAGAAACATGGGTCCCAGCAACACCAGTAACAAAAATGAAGTGCGACTGTAACCCAAAACACTTGGTAAAGACAGGGGTTCCGTCAATTTCAATCTAACTGGAAACTTCGTGCACCCATAGTCGATTGGTGACACGGCAACAGAAGCAAGAACGAGGGCGTCCACCACCAGTTGGCGGCTCAGTAATGTCTCGGGTGGGATGATGCCGGGCTGAAGGGCTAGTGCCGCGTAACCAAATACCAACGACAAATCCGTTTGATATTACTAATGAGTAAGAGGATTTTTTAATCGTACTTGTAATGTTTTCGTCCCAGCTGCCCACAAGCTACATAGCACAGCCTAGTCCGGAAAAGCACCAGACGAGTCTCGCCCTATTGGGGCTGGTCAGTGGTGCGCATTCTCTCGGACCCCTACTGAGGATCGAACTCATGCCCACTAGAGGCAGATGCCAACTAGCCAGTAACTTAAATCACTGAGATCCGTTTGAATTGATTTATCTTTGTATCGCCAAAATTAGATGCACATTGCTAACACTGAAACTGTGTGATTGTGTGAAAGTAGCTGCTTATGGGTCTGATTCGTAACAACAGACTAGCTCGTTCCGTTGGGTCAGATTTGTGCAGGTGAATCAGCTGGCTAATGGGTGTTGGCCAACCGAAAACTAAGACGCACGATCGGTTAGGAACTTGGTTGGTCCAGCTGACTCAGCAGTTAAGTTAGTAATGATCGCACTGATCAATGCGAATGACACTGCACATGGAGAACGCGTGTCGCAATGCACTCACACAAAGAGCGCTTCTACATGAGCCTCCAATCAGTAATTAACCGTCGTGACTCAATAGCCCTGAGTTCCAATCCGTGCTATTTCCACCTGATGGGAACAGACAATTTCAAAACTAGTCATGGAATAATGTGTTTTCGAGCGATTGGAACAACCACCAATCAGTTACAGCTCCAGTGATCGAACTAACCAAGGTTCATTTCTGTTATCAGTAGAGTTAGCGACTGCGTGATTATTCACATGTCAAAACAGGTGTTGTGACAAGTGTATCGTGGAAATCGCCAGTGCAGAAAGTGCAAAAACACCTACACATGTCAACTGTATATTGTGTACACTTAAGCAAACAATGACGATAACTTACCACGGTGAGCGAAAAGACGGACTCAGGAGGGGCGACCGCGAACTCCTTGAGTAGCCTTCGGTCCCACATTTGCCATAGATAAAATCGATATTCCAAGATTAAAATCAGCAACAGGAACACCGAAGTCTGTCCTACGAGACATATCATCTGTGTGTATGTGAATTTCCAAGTGTCCCAGGCAGAGAATATGTGAGGAGACACTCCTTCTGGTATGGAGGATAGTGGGATGTGGTGCTCACGAAAAAAACCATTCACCATCAAGTCGAACACGGTGGAGACAATGCAATGGTGCGGAAAGATGTACATCAATGTACGGTTTACATGAGATACCGTGGTCTGAACCAATGCAGTGGGATTATGGTACAAGAGAATCTTAAGCAACAGGTTCGCGGACAAAGTGAGAGAGGAGAGGAACATGTTGCATCCACAGATCATCACATACGCGGTGCTAGGGTGCTTAAACAATAGAGCTGTCAAGTATACAAATGGAATCATAGCGGATCCGAAGAGCAACACAGTAATGAGGAATGGGCCAACAACCATGGGATCGACATAGGTGGTTTTTCGGAAACAAAGCAAAAGTAAAAAGCACACGAAAGACAACAAGGAGTAGATTAGAAAATCCCACATAAAGGTGACGAGCCAATACATATACGGTTGGAGACCGGACAGCTGTTGCAAGTGTTTCAAGCCGGATTGGCGTTCGGAAACGAGAAGAACAGCAAAGTTGGCCGGTATCACAGTCAAGGCGATGATGAGAAATAACGAGAAGACAGTCTCTACCTGTAACGCCTCGCGAAAAGTGATAAACCAAGCTGTCCGGGGAAAAGGTAGGGGATAATTGGTGACGACAAGCCCCGAAAATGGATCAACTTCCGCATCTTTCTGACTTCTCAGCAGAAGGTTGTGAAGCATGTTCAGGTAGGCCGGGGCGGAGACATAACCTCGATTATTGTACCATATTCTGACCCGAACTCGCGGTGCTTGGAAAAGTGTGTGGATCAAACCAGTGGAGGACTTATTGGTGGGGTCCAACCGATTGGCAAGTGAACGAATCATCCCCTCAATCAACGCATCCGATTCCGAGACAGCGGCGTAGTGAATGGAAATACCACCAAAACACTCTCTTTCAAAGTGGGTGTTGAGCAGATAATCGGAAACGTTGAAGAAAGTGAGATTGATAAGAACATCGTTGGTAGGCAGACGTTGTGAGACGGGGCGAATAGGCGAATTATACTGAAGGCAACTACGGTTCACAAGGGATATCGGAGGGGAAAGTTGTGGTGTGAAGGACAAATTTGTCACATGGGTGCATACAGGAATGTTAGGACGAGGAGAATAGAGTGCACGTGGTATACAACGTGTACCGGTCCAAGAAAATGGCCGGTGAAATGTATGAGTATCGGTGAGTGAGGATAAGGAGAGCTGTTTGTTGGAAAGTCCGGAAGAGCACACATCGTGAGAAAAAAAGGTTATCTGGTCTGTACCTCGACTGGCTGTCATCAACCAAGGGTTCAAATCCATTGGTGGCTGTTCCACCTGAGGTTGATACAAAGTAATGAGGACAAGTGCAAAGAGAAGAACAAAAAAAGGCACAAAAAACTGGAAAAACCACACACGTCTGTTGCGTTTGATGTAATGAAGACGGATGAAAAGCATAACAAAAGCCTGAGTATAGAGCAACCACAGGGCGCGCAGGGATGGTTTTTGAGTGCTGGCTGTCATCGTGCTCTGCAGGTAATCCGCGGGAGGTTTCTGTTTTTGCTCTTGCAATGGGAACATGGACTGCCACTTAGAGAGGAAATCGTGTTTCAGCTTTAAGGGGTAGTGTACGGACTCAGCTAAACGTGATGGGGGTGGGGACGATAGCGGTGCCGGGTCAAGTACGTTTGCTGAGTCTCCTGGCAAACAGTAACCATTCACATCCTTGTGATCCGCATAACCGTTTACCGAAGAATCAAATCCCATGAATATATCGTCCAAAGAAGAATCTGTAACGCTAAACTGTGCTATAGGCACTTCAGCAGTGTTATCTCCGTCGATCTTGGATTCCGAATGAGAATGACATGCTTCAATATGTTCAAATAACAAGGCAAACTGACCATTCAGTGCACCGTGAACAGGAAGACGCATGCACAACGAGTGCGGCGATTCCCAAAGAACCACTGCATCCGGGACATGGGCGCGGACTAGATTAATCAACGTGGTTGAATCACCAGGACTGTGAGGGGTGGTTAGTTCTAAGGTAAGCAGGTAGCCTGTCCCATAAGTAGTCTTGAGAGCGACACTCGTGTCTGAGAGATGAACTCTACCTTTGGACAGATAGGAGATTCGATCAGATAAATATTCCGCTTCTCGCATGTGATGTGAAGTCAGAATCACAGACCGTCCTTCCTTCATGGATTGGATGGTGTCCCAAATAATTCGTTTCGAAAGCGGATCTATTCCAGCAGTGGGTTCGTCCAGAAGCGTCACGGTGGTCGTTGGTCCGAGAAAAGCCAGACTGACGGAGAGCTTACGTCGTTGTCCTCCAGAGAGACTGGACGCCACACAGCACCGCTTATCGGCGAATCCGAACTTATCCACATAACGGTCCACATCAAGGTGAGTTCGGATGTGATTAAGCCATATGAGACCAGCGTAGAAGCGAATATGCTCGCTTACTGTGAGACAAGGGTATAGTATGTCGTGTTGCGGACAGTAGCCTACCTGTCCATGAAGACGTAAGGCACGGTTATGGAACATTGGTTTGCCGTGGAGAACTATTTTCCCCGAGGTAGGCCGAATGGTCCCGGCCAAAATAGATAAGAGGGTGGTCTTCCCCGCCCCGTTGTGACCCAAAAGTACGTGCACCTCACCCGGATAAAACCGTAGGTTGACATTGTCTAGTATCAATGGGCGAATGGAAGAGTTATGAGTGTAATTCAGTCGGCGAACGATAACAGCTGGTGAGAGCAACTGATCCGAAAGATCAAGAGAAATGTTGGCCATCGTCCCATTGTCCGGAACCGGGGTTGCTAGCTTTACGACAAGCGATTTTTTGAACGAACCACCCAATCTAGCACCCATGTGTTGCCAAATGGCTTTCGGAGAAAGGACTGAGAATCGATTTGAAAGCAACGACTGAATTGCTGGTATGACGATCAATCCAAGTGCGAGTTGTGCAACGATAGATGAGGTCAAGAGAATAAACAGAAACCCCAAAGAACAGGGGCTCTCGGTGTTGGAGACCTCCCACAAGTTAGACCATCGTGCACCGGAACCGCGCATCTCCAGTCGAACAAAATAGGCCCAACCAAAGGTATGATTAATTTGAGGTAACAGACTGGCCACAATGAGTAAAGTACGTGGCAACAGACTCTCGAAACGGAATAACACAGGAGCAGGTAAATAACCCAAAAAGTACACGCCACCGCAGACGACAGCAGCCAAATGGGAGCGAGAGAAGAACAGGCTGCATACGATGGAGTAGGACAAGAACGCTAATGCATACGTTAGTATGAAGCAAAGTAACAGGGAAAGATCAGCATTCGGAAAGACACTGGTGTACTTGAGTATGCAAACCATAGGAACAGTGGTCACAAGTACCAGGCACAGAGATGTCGTGAACCAGGAAAGATAGGTTAGTCCACGAGGCACACCAAGGATTTGAAGCATATCGAGTAGACCATGCTCCCGCTCATCAACCAGGTACTTCACTAAGGTCACGATTGTCATCGACCAGGCGAGGATCATGAGTTGGGAGAGGTGCGGGCCAAGAAGATGTAGAAATACGTCGTCCAAATACGGACCGGTTGGAAACATCTTCAACTCCGTGCTAAAGGAGCCATGATGGAGGGAGATAACATTGAGTATGGCTTGACTCACGCTTTCTTGTAAATCGAGGAAACCGCTGGTGAAGTATTTCACATCAGAATCCGGGTCACGTCGGGGTAACGGTTCCCAATAGGAATCAAACACGCGATAACGGAATGTAGTATCGATCAGGAATGGGTTGGATCGAATGGTAAAGGAAAATAATCCCGCGGAAGAATCATTGGAAGTTGCAAACATGTCTGCATCCATATGGGATGCCGCGTTTTCAAACAGTAACCCGGTCACACTTGATTGAAAATCTTCTTGGTTGTCGATTAGAAAGGCATCAAAATCGTCTTTGCTTTCAAACGGAATGAATCGGTTATCGAGTTCGATGCAATCCAGCAGAGACTCGACAGTGGCTACAACATAGTCCAATGTCTCAATGGTGTTAGTCCAATGGGTGATATTGCCGGATGGAGGGGTTGGTGCAGACCAAGAAAAAAGCCATTTACACCAAGATGTCAATTCGCTGGGAAGAAAAAAGCTCGTAGAGCAAAAGAGCAAGTAATCACGAAGTTTGTGCAACTCTTGGTTGAAAAAACGGTAAAGCCATGGGCGCGCGTCACTAAAATATCGCTTAGTTGCCACCTTTATCGGGAAAAATGATTGATGTACGCGGAGCACATCGGAAATCACGCGGTTTGTGAAAGAGGTATTGGGGTAGTAAGCAACACGACCGAACAGGAATTGACGTAACCGCCCCGCTGTTTGGAGGACAGGTTGCCATGTGAGTAAAGTTCTCAGAGATTCGCAAATGTGCAGATTATGAACATACTTCCTGGCCGAACTAGAGAGGACAGATGTGTTAGCGACCTGTCGACCTTTCACTCTCGTTGGCATACCTTTAAGAAGCTCAGCCAAAAACGTGATGTTGCTCGATGTGTTGTTGCTCGGCAATTTGTCCATCAAGTCGATCAGCTGATTGATATCATTTGCAGTTGTTCCGCAGACAAGTGAGGAAATGTCTTTGAGCGTAGAACGATTCAACCGCTGGATCAGACTGAGCTGGTCACTGTTGTTGGTCAACAGTAGAGGGGGTAACTCCATTAGGGATGTGAACACAGCAGTCAACTGGTCTTGCATGCTCATGAGAGGAAGTAGATCAGACAAGGAAATGGATCCATTGAATTGACCGAGGCTAAAAGGAAAAATACAGCCAGGATGGTGGAGTGTAACGATTGTCACCGTCGAGGCAGCAACAGAAGAAGACAAATATGATACATATTTTTTAACCAAGGGTAGCCAACAGTTTACGGCTGACCAATCCTCAAGCTTTGAAACAACATTATGAAATCCCAATTCTAGCAGTTATCTACTAAACAGATATGTTTTGAGTGAATCACGTCCGTTGGGTCGATTTCTGCAAAAGACCGTTGACCGTATATCCAGTGTGTATCGCTTGCCATATGTGCGCTTGGTTAAATACATGGGGGGAAAGAGAGTGGCAAACGATACGGGAAAGAGGTGTGAAGAAATCGAGTGACTTGGTAGAGCTAGTGCGTGACGTCTAAGTAGGGGGCCGAGAGGAGATGGGTTGTAAGGGGAGTTGGAGATGGGAAGTAGTGGCGAAACGAATCGTGTTGTTTCATTAGCCAGAATGCTTGTACGTGTTATATCTTTAAGCTAACTAGTACACCTATTCTATATTTTCCCAACCGTCTGAGCAGAATACTGTTCCCCAAATTTATTTAATTACAATTTAATTGCCACAACGGTGAGGTAGATCCAGGTGGATGGGTCCAATGGAGTCTAAAGCACAGTTGGCGAACAGAACCGGAGTGAATCAAACCCCGTGCATGACAGTGGAGGCTGGAGAGCGTAGGTCGATAGTGGCCAAATGAGCTAAGAAGCAACCTGTTGCAGCCCCATTTCCGTAAATGAGAATCGCATCTAGTCCGCGTGAGCTCCAGCGATGTCACACTGCTAGCAAGTTCAAAAAGATTGTAAGAAAGCGCACTAAGGAGTATCTACTAAATGGGTAGATAAACTAGCGGTCCCAAGAGGACATGTTGGTGGGGAGTCGGCATAAAGCCAAACAGCTTGGAAAAAAATGATTGTTTGTTACTCCAAACCCATAAATGGGGGTCAGTAGGGCAATACTCAGAGTAATTCATTTGAAAGCATTAAATTCCGGTTTACGGATGCCATCTATCAGTGATCGGATTTCAGTGAGAAGCAATGCAGTTATTCGATGCGCATGCTTGTCAACCATGTAAATGCAAGTGAACTGGGAAATAAGACGGAACACTATGTTCCTCAATTTCCTGTCTCGTCGCAGTCGATGGAGATACAATGTGGGGTCGTCGTTTCTACTGTGGTGAATAGGGTGCGAATGTAGCAGCATGCGTCTTTCCTAACAGTTCATTACGCTTTCGCCATCCAACCAGGTGTTCACATGGTGACGACAAAAATCGATAATTAGAGGAGACACCGGCTGAACAATTACAAAGTATCTTGATGGCAAAAATTCGGCGGCCTTATTTTTCCTGGTAAGCAAATGAATATCGGACACAACAGGCAAGACTTCGCAAAAATGGCACATGGTAAAAACCACTTAGTGGGCAAACTGGAACAGGGGTGGGGGTTGGACACTCAGGCTACATTACCCCCCTATAACCCAGGTTGAAGGACAATAATTTAGCTTGATTTTACTTGACTCCAACAATACCATATGTCAGTTGTATCACCAGTTAATCCATTGGATGGAGACCCAAATCTCAGTAATCATCAGTTCCCTCCTTCGGTCTGAAGATCTGAGGCGCCTTCGAGTCTTTGATTATCGTTGTTTGCGAAGCATTGCTGGTGTCGGATGGCACCAGCGTGTCCTCAACGATGATGTGCGTAAGCGAGGACTAGGTGGTGATAATCATGCTAGCTCACTAGAACAACAGATAGCACTGAATAAGTTGCGTTGGCTCGGGCACGTGCTACGTATGCCTGGTCACTGCATACCTAGGAGGGTCTTGTTCAGTCTACCAGGTGTCGGATGGCGCAAGGCTCGAGGTGGACAGAAGTTGACTTGGCAGCGGGAAGTGAAGTCACTGACAACTAAACTGGGTGCCGTTGGTCCGTCTCGCCTTCCGGGTTGGAGTCCACGTGACTCACCTTGTGCTTGGCTCGAGACTTTACAGGACATGGCTCGCAACCGACACCAGTGGCGCGTCTGCTGCCGTCTCCTAATCGGATTGCCTGTTTAAAGTGTGTTTGGTGTTGAGTTATCTGCAGGGTAATGGCTGATTATGACGCGGGGCAGTGAAAGCCACAAGGAAGCTGTCTCGCCGATGCCGCCTTATCTTTGCACGATAGCCAGCTGTTTGTGACGGTATGTTGTCTACACAAGGTGTAGGGGCCTTGACCCTGAATGTTTGCTTAGGGCATTAAGGTTTTCAGGTAAGTCCCCCTTCTCTCCCTCTTGTTATTCTTTATTTCATAGGTCCTCATGGTTGTATGGCAGTGAAGCATCAGTTCAAATGGCTGATGTACTGCTGTTGATGATAATGACTTCCCTCGAGAACTCACTTTGATTTCACCCGTTTTCACACTTACAATTCGCCAGTTGGTAAGTTTGACATCAAGGTCCATTCTATGGGGCTTTAATTCACCCTAGCTCTTAATATTCCACTTCAGTTTTACTAGCGCCTATCCCTAGCTAGTTAGGCACTGTGAAAAAATAGACACCCAGATCCAGTTGAAAACAGAGAAAAGTTGTCCTGACTTCTAAGCGCGAATACACACTATACACCATAAAACTATCAGGTTTGTGATTCAAATTCTCTTAATTATTGTAGAACCAACAAATCCAGAATGCGTTGCATTGTACCCACGAGCTACACGAATGCTGTTTTCGACGAAGTCCACTTATCAGGCCATGAAGCATTTTCATATGCCAGATCGCTTATCCTGTACGCTACGCAAATGAGCCACAGAACATTCTAACATCATCTGTGCAAGTCTTTAAATCTTTAGATTCACGTCAACCGACGTGCGTCCACATGGTTTCCATGCTGTTTGTTCTCACGGAATCAACCTTCGCCGTTTTGAAACATCACATTCAACATACACTCATCCGCTCAATCTAACGGGCCGTTCAGAAAGTAGTTCCAAAGTATCGCGATCCCAACAACCTTTGCTTCTTTTAAAACGCTCGTGCTCAAACCTCCACCTACGACCTTATCCGAATTGGGCTAGTTAACCAACTGAGTTTCTGTGTTCGATAGTGCAATCTCGGAGCCGTCCAATAAAGCCTGATGGGTTCATACAAGGTATTTTCCAAGGAAGTTAAGAAACAATTTTGATCCACTGCTTAGCTATCATTCGCACCCATTTCCGTGCACATCAAGTTGTAGTGTTCAAGGTTCGCCGGCGAACCGCTCGCGGTGATCCAGTAACCGAGTAACCTGTACCGGCAGCCGTGAGCGCACGCAGGTAGATACGAACTTGTGGCCAACATTCAAGATCAGTTTAGTGTGCGCACAGGAGGTTGTAGTGATACTTGCAATCGGTATGTGGGCATCAGCCAAAACATGAGTTAATGCGACGTCGTATGTGTTATAGTGTAATATGGCAAAGTCCTTACGATGGAGAGAACGTGTCTAAGTTGTACTTAATCATCCCATACTAAATATTTAAGGAAGTCGGTTCAAGAAGTGAGACTACACAACAAAGTAACTGAAGCCCGTTGGTTTTGTACGATGTACCGAAACGTAACAGTTGTCAATTGTTCATGTGCGCTCATGAAGAAACGCGACAGAATGTCTGAAGCATTCGAGCATTTGGTGAACACAAGGATTGCCCCCTTGGAGGCGAACATGGTCACGCATACGCCACAATCAGTCACTTCGGGCTCTAACTGGTCCACTTCACTCCACCAAACAGACAGGGAGCGAGCATGTCTACCTCCGTCTCTTTCAGGGGTGCAACGCACATTAAGTGGGTGGCGATGATGGCGGCTCCCCGCCAGCCAGCCAACCATCGAGAAAGACCGGGCATCAAACGCATCGGCTGCCTCCATGCAAACGCCGGAAAAAAAGCACCCCTGACTCGAGTAGCAGCACCGAGCAACACTAGGGTAACACAGCTACAAAAGCTCCCCAAACCGTTAAAAACTGTATCAATCGATACCCACAAACCGACAGTCCGCAGAAGAAACCGACGTGCCTTAACGGTCCTGTGCTCAAATGCTTTAAGATCAGTCTACTACAACAAAGAGAAAGCTGATGGACAACTGCAACCAATGAGATTTGTGGTGCGAGTGACATTTCTGTTGAGCCTACGACGCCGAGACGAGTAACACGTCAGTAGGTTGAACTTCGACTTCTCCGAGTGAACCTGAGTTCCGCTGAAGACACAGAGGTCATTTTACTAGCGTTCAACTGGTTACGCAATTCTTCACAGAAGAGGTGTATACTTCCAGACCTTTACTGGAAAGAACGTCCGAAAGAGAACAGCAATCGTAAAGAAGTTCGTACATCTAACAACCAACAGACGATTCTTGTTTGCGGAGTTCCTGAGCTTCAAACTTCCTCCTCTGAGGAAGCGGAGGCACATGACCGAGAGCAGTGGAGCAACATCCGCCAAGTATGCTCGCTGGACAATATCATCACTAAATGGCTAACAAGGATTCCAATTTAATCAAACTACAAGCGAAGCGGTCTTATGCTGATGAAAGTGGCGTTTTGGTCGGAGACAATGACACGATTATCATGAAAAACTGATTAATTCCACAAGAGGCTGCCGAGAGAAATTCGGCTGAAGGCAGCAGGGATGTAACCAAGGGTGTTTAACGATTTACTGATGACGGCCGACTTAGTGAGTCTTCTCCTCATATAGTTCGGTGAAGGAACTGACCAAATGGTAACCTGCCTGGACGAGAACATTGTTTCGTCAGAGTGGAAGCGGGGTAGTATCGCCCTACGAGGTGCGTTCAAAAAGAAACCGGACTTTCGAAACAGCGTGCCAACCGGCAGAGGGAGCGCGCTGTGGTTACCAAGGTAACGTAGAGGCTTGTTTAGACAACAAACTGCCATTTGCCGCATTTCGCTCTGACTGTTAGTTGGCGAGCTACAGCCGCTGAAGTGAGCACGTGCACAAGCTGTTCGTCGGATTAGTGCCAAAGAGACAATGAAAGAGCTTGAAGAG